AGATATAACCATCAATTTAGATACAGTTAAAAGGTACTATGTTTGACCCGTTGTTCAGCAAATCTTCTCAGGTTGAGATGATGAGGGCTTTCATTCTTGCTACCCAAACACTATCACCATTTTGTAAACCCTTTTAGTAGGTTATCCTTTATTGATTACCCTCTTTGGAACCTCATTTTAAAAAAGGAAAAACAAAACAAAAGTCAAAAACCAAGTTTTCATGTTAATTAAACTATGTCCGACCTGATTCTGAAGAATATGTAGGCATCCCTATTTTAGGGTTCGGTGACACCAAACAAACATAACCACATTCCCCAAAAATTTAAACCAGGGCAGTAGTTACAGTATGTTGGCTATGGTTTCGTCCAAAAGGTTTCAAAGTTGTAGTTCAATTCGTATTATTTTCACCTAAAGCCCTTTCAAGACCTTAAAGCCAATCGTTGAGAATGTTTAAGATCAAAGGTCGCACATATTGGACCTTGCACCATCAAGATTGAGAGAAATAAAATGAGAGAGCGTTACTAATAAAAATCCTCATGCGCACCGTAAGTATATGCTAGTATAAACCTTCAAAGGGCACTATAAAATGATGGTAAAAAGAGAAATGAGAGAGATCAGCTAGTGAAAACCCGCGAAGGGCATCACTGATCGAAAAGAGAGCTCACACCATCGTGGCATCAGCATAATCCTAAGCATGGGTTCTCAGTTTCAAGATGAAGATTGTGATGAGTTTATGAAAGTCGGACAAATTCCGTGTACGCAAGGTGCCGAGTGGGTACACGAGTTGTACGTGGTATTTCCCCGGTTTAGGCTAACTAGACTATTTCCATGCTTTAATTGAAATGCCATATCATGTTCTAAATTACCATAGTCAATCTATTCTTACTTGCCTTACACGCCTTAAATGATTACGTGAACACTTGTTTTACCTCCTAATTCATAAATTGCTATCACGCTTTAGTTGAACTTGTTGCCTCTTTTTATTGTCACATGCTATCTGTTTTATTGTTGATTGCCATTATTTGAAGTTGTTGTTCATGTTATCTCTTTTATTGTGGATTTCCATTATTTGAAGTTATTGCTAAACGTTGTCTCTTCTATTTGAGTTATTCTTATTTAACAGCATGGTTATACATTTCTTTTTAACATGTTGAGTTATTGGTGTTGAGGTTGTGAAAGTCGTTATCACGTTGAGAAAAAATTTGTTATTGTTGAAACATCTTCCTTTTGAGCATTTTTCATCATTGTTGTTGATATTCTTCTACCCGTTTTGGTGGAGCCGTGGGCTATTGTTGTAGAAACATTGATAGTATTGATTGTTGGAAAATTGTGATATATGAGAACTTGTGGTGCGAGTTGTCATTGTAATGCGATATCGACACGCATGCGGCGGTATAAGGCTTGGGGTTGATGTGCATGTTGCTTGTAGGGAAACTACGTGAAGCCACACCGCGTCATAAGGTAGGCTAAAGTGCGTGTAGCTATTTCGTTAAAACTATTTTTTTTAAAAAGAAAAAACCTATTTCGAATGCAAGGCTCACCCGACGGTATAAGGAAAGATTGTGATTGAGATTGTTTTGTGAACACGAGACGATACCTCGTATGTGATTGTTGATTTATCCAAGGCGGTAACTCGGTGGTGATTCTTATTATACACGAGGCGATACCTTATTGTGTTATTTTGTTGTTTACCTCCTGTTGCAAGGAGCTTTTGGTGGAAATGGTCTTGTTGTCTTGTTCTTGGTTGTTCCAGCAGTTGTGCCATATATGATCATTTTGGTTCTATTGTGCTGCTTCTTTTATGTATTCCCGTGTTTAATTTTTGGTATTTTTTTCCGGTTATCATCTTGTTTTATATCCGTTATTTCTTGCTTTCCATTATTTATCCCTATTACATTTTCATACTACTTATTTATATCCTAGTAGGTGTCTTGACCTGGTCTCATCACTACTCTACTAAGGTTAGGCTTCATACTTACTGGGTACCGTTGCGGTGTACTCATACTGTGCTTCAACATATTTTTTTATACAGATCTAGGTACGTCTGCTCGTACCGGTCATTATGACCCTTCATTCTTATTTCATGTCTTCTTATTATGTAGAGCCGTTAGGTCGAAGCTCATTCTAGAGTCATTGCCGAATATATGAAACAAAAAATAAGAAGGGGTAATAAACAAGACAAAGCTGTAAAAAAACAAACACATGCAATACGATTAGATGGCTCCAATATTAGACATGCAAATATTATTTGCACTTTATTCACTAGTGGAAACAACAGTCCTTATTCATGTAGTAAGCAGCTGACCAAGAAGGTTAACTAGCTGATGCATAGTAGTAGTACTAATTAAGCGCTAGCAGGCTAGCTCGTTCACTATAAAATGAGGTTAAGATTACGTATAAAACCAGTAGGACCTAAACTGACATTAATAAGATCACCGACACTGCCAATACTGATATTTACAAGAGTCAAGGATGACGCTAAAAGCCCAACAGATGGTAAGCTCGCGTTACATGTTGAGAGTGGAGTTGCAACCACTAAACGACAGTTGGACAATAGCAATGGCAAAGTAATTACACGAGGATCCACCACCAAGGAAAATACTCCCGATCCATTTGTTATTGTACTTGATACCACATTTCTTGCTCCACACCGCAATTGCACTGATGCATCTGCAAAGTTAAATGATACTAATTGTATTATTTATGCAATTAGATCAACTTTGCATTTTAGCTGACATGTTGAAAATATAATTAATTATGTAAATAAAAAGATATTATCTCACACTTTTTGGGCTTTTATATGAAATGATCATACAGTTCAACATGCAGAAACTTCTTATGATGGGGCCATATGCATCTTTTGACTGTGAGTGTAGGATTCATTCGGCTCAAGTTGGCACCATTTTTCATTTTGGCATTCTATCTCTACCTTGTTCCATTTTGGCTTTCCAACTCTATTTCTTATGTTCCACTTTAACACAAAAGCTGAAACCAGTGCAAAAAATTGTGTTGCTCAATTAAGGTGTGTGCATGACCAATTTGTAGTAAATATCATCGGCTGAAATTTCAAAACCCCTAATCCACCTGTTGTGAACGTGTATTATAGTGTTATTACACGTATATTTAAATGAACTAATTGAAATTTCAAAAGCCCTAATCCACTTGTTCCTTGCTATATGAGATGCCGGTGGTCACCCTGGCTATAACTACATACAATTGCTCCAAACCTCAATAATCAATAGCAATCCATCCTTGACTTCTAAAAATTACTTATTTTGTAAAGAAATTTATCAACATAGTATTTCCGAAGTGGTTTTAGAGAAAAATAATTTATGTTTGGCAAGTTTTTTTCATAGTATTTGATAAACAAATTATGTTTGGTCATGTAATAACTCGTTAACAAAAGAGTGAACATTAAATAAGTATGTGATGAGAAGAAGAAACCCCATGATATCTTTGCTGAAAATATTTTGCTCGTTGATGAAGAATTAGAGAAAGGGAAGAAGAGTCTCAGACACAAGCCCTAGAAATTCCGGATATACGATGTTAATGATCTGACATGTGGTCTTTAGTGTCGTTTAATTTGAGCCTTAGACGGTAACACGTGTGAGCATCACAGTCTCTTAGAATTTTGATGAAAACCCATTGATGTAAATACGGAATAAGTTAGGAAGTTCCTCATTACACCTGATTTGCACATGATAGAGAATAAAGGAATAAAGTTAGTTAGGCATAGGGATTGATAATTGTACAGGTGGCTAGTATAGGTTAACTTTTTGTATTGTTCTTATGTCATTTACATGTATAAATATAGGCTACACTGAAAATTCAAAATATACAGAGAAAATTTCTGCATCTTCATTCTTTCGTTCCTTCATGGTATCAGAGCATATCTCTGCTCAATCCTTGAACTTCATCGTCTAATTTTCGTCTTTCCTTTTGCTCAACTTCATCTATCATCATGACTGGAACAGATCACCCACTCTTTCCCTTTCTGGTTCAACCAGTCAAGCTGTGAATCATGATATGAACCACCCCTATTTTCTTCACTCTTCAGATGTACCTTGAATGACTTGTCACCTCACCATTTGATGGAAGAGGATTCCCAGGCTGGAGAAGATCAATCCTAATTGCATTATCAGCCAAAAACAAGCTAGGGTTCATCAATGGGGTTTGGTATCAACCTGCCCTGGATTCAAAGGATCATGCACAGTGGAGTAGGTGCAATGGAATGGAATCCCCGTGGCTCTTAAACTCTCTAACGAAAGAGATAGGACACAGTGTGGTTTATTCCAAATCTGCAAAGGAACTTTGGAATAGTCTGGAGCATAGGTTTGGACAATCCAATGGAGCCAAGCTCTATCACCTACAAAAGGAAATTACTAAGATAGTTCAGGGTAATAGCAGTATTGCAGGATATTTTACAACTTTGAAAGGTTATGGGATGAGTTAGATTCCCTAAATGATGAGAAGAAGAAACCTCATGATATCTTTGCTGAAAATATTTTGCTCGTTGATGGAGAAATAGAGAAGGGGAAGAAGAGTCTCAGACACAAGCCATAGAAATTTCGGACTATACGATGAAAATGATCTCACGTGTGGTCTTTAATGTCTTTTAATTCGAACCTTACACAGTGACACGTGTGAGCATCATAGGCTCTACGAATTTTGATCAAGAACCGTTGATGTAAATAGGGAATAAGTTAGGAAGTTCCTCACTACACCTGATTTGCACATGATAGAGAATAAATGAGTAAAGTTAGTTAGGCATAGGGATTGATAATTGTACAGGTGGCTAGTATAGGTTAATTTTTTGTATTTTTCTTTACGTCATTTACATGTATAAATACAGGCTACACTGAAAAGTGAAATATAGAAAGAAAATTTCTGTACCTTCATTCTTTCGTTCCTTCATGGTATCAGAGCAGATCTCTGCTCAATCCTTGAACTTCATCGTCTAATTTTTGTCTTTTTTTTTTTGCTCAACTTCATCTATCATCATGACTAGAACGGATCCTTCACCCACTCTTTCCCTTTCTGGTTCAACCAGTCAAGCTGTGAATCATGATGTGAAACACCCATATTTTCTTCACTCTTCAGATGCACCTAGAATGACTCTTGTCACCTCACCCTTTGATGGAAGAGGATTCCCCGGCTGGAGAAGATCAATCCTAATTGCATTATCAGCCAAAAACAAGCTAGGGTTCATCAATGGGGTTTCGTATCAACCTTTCCTGGATTCAAAGGATCATGCACAGTGGAGTAGGTCCAATGTCATGGTATCCTTGTGGCTCTTAAACTCTCTAACGAAAGAGATAGGAGACAGTGTGGTTTATTCCAAATCCGCAAAGAAACTTTGGAATAGTCTTGAGCATAGGTTTGGACAATCCAATAGAGCCAAACTCTATCACCTACAAAAGGAAATTGCTAAGATAGTTCAGGGTAATAGTAGTATTGCAGGATATTTTACAACTTTGAAAAGGTTATGGGATGAGTTAGATTCCCCAAATAATGAGAAGAAGAAACCCCATGATATCTTTGCTGAAAATATTTTGCTCGTTGATGAAGAATTAGAGAAGGGGAAGAAGAGTCCCAAACACATGCCATAGCAATTTCGGACTATAGGATGTAAATGATCTCACATGTGGTCTTCAATGTCTTTTAATTCGAACCTTACACAGTGACACGTGTGAGCATCATAGGCTCTCAGAATTTTGATCAAGAACCGTTGATGTAAATAGGGAATAAGTAAGGAAGTTCCTCACTACACCTGATTTGCACATGATAGAGAATAAAGGAATAAAGTTAGTTAGGCATAGGGATTGATAATTGTACAGGTGGCTAGTATAGGTTAATTTTCTGTATTGTTCTTTACGTCATTTACATGTATAAATACAGGCTACACTGAAAAGTGAAATATAGAAAGAAAATTTCTGCATCTTCATTCTTTCGTTCCTTCATGGTATCAGAGCGGATCTCTGCTCAATCCTTGAACTTTATCGTCTAATTTTTGTCTTTCGTTTTGCTCAACTTCATCTATCATCATGAGTGGAATAGGTCCTTCACCCACTCTTTCTCTTTCTGGTTCAACCAGTCAAGCTGCTAGTCATGATGTCAACCACCCCTATTTTCTTGACTCTTCACATGCACCTGAAATAAGTCTTGTCACCTCACCCTTTGATGGAAGGGGATTCCCAGGCTGGAGAAGATCAATCCAAATTGCATTATCAACTAAAAACAAGCTGGGGGTTCATCAATGGGGTTTGTGATCAACTTGCCCTGGATTCAAAGGATCATGCACAGTGGTGTAGGTGCAATGATATGATTACCTCGTGGCTCTTAAACTCTCTAAGAGAAAGGAGACAGTGTGATTTATTCCAAATCTACTAAGGAACTTTAGAATAGTCTTGAGCATAGGTTTTGACAATCCAATGGAGCCTAGCTCTATCACTTACAAAAGGAAATTGCTAAGATAGTTCAGGGAAACAGCAATATTGCAAGATATTTTACAACTCTGAAAAAGGTTATGGGATGAGTTAGATTCCCTAAATGCACATCTAGGTTGCACCTGTACTTGTGGGGGAAGAAGAAGGTAGCCAAGTTCCTAGAGGATCAAAGAGTCATTCAATTCCTCATGGGGTTGAATGATGTGTATGCACATGCAAGAGGAAACATCCTCATAATGAGCCCACTTCCAAGCATGGATCATGCCTACTCTTTCCTTCTGCAAGATGAAAGTCAGAGGGAAATATATGTTAACCCACAATATCCATCAGATGGTGCATCTTTCGTGGTAGGATCTCAAGGGAAGTTAAATCAAAGGAATAACATTCAGAAATCCTGGGGAACTCCTCAGAAACAGGGTAACAATCAGAACTTACAACGAAAATTCAGAAAGAAGACAAAGTACAATCCCAATGTGAGTTGTAGTCATTGCATGAGAACAGGGCATGTGAGAGCAGATTGCTACAGACTAATAGGCTTTCCTGATGATTTCTAATTCATAAAATTAACTAATTATCAGCCTGCAACAAAGGGAAATGTAGCGGTGGCAGGACAGGACAGTGAAGAGAAGTCCAACACATGCAGTGAAGCAAACATGAGCAATCAGAACCAATTTTTTAGTAAGGAGCAAGTGTAAGAATTGGTAAACATAATCAAGCAAGTGCAGATTGGGAGTGCAGGAGCCACAACATTAGAAATCAATGCTAATGTTGTAGCTGGTACCATACTTAAATACACATGAACTTGTCTTGCTGTTTTTAACACTAAAACATGGATTATTGACTCAGCGGCCTCTGAACATATGTGTTTTGATGCTAGTTTTTTCTTAACTCTTACCCCTCTACCTGTACCTTTGCACATTAGTTTACCTAATTCATTTCAATTACATGTTACACACATAGGTAGTGTGTCTATTCAGCCTGATATGATTCTTCATTGGGTGCTTCATGTCCCTTCTTTGAAGTATAACTTATTATCTGTTCATAAGTTATGTCTTCAATTCAGTTGCTCTTTAAATCTAACTTCTAGTGGCTATCTATTGCAGGTCTCTTTAATAAGGAGGGGACAAGTTCTTGGTGAGTAGAGATGGATTGTACCTGTTCCAGCCACCTAGAATAGAGTCAGTTTCTTCCATTAGACAAGATGTATTTTCCTTTCCAAAAGGAAGAACTTCCAGTGTTATTTCTACTTCTATTTCATTTCCATCACCTTTAGTTGCTAATGTTACATCTAATTTAAAGCAATGGCATGTCAGGCTAGGGCATTTGCCCTTTTCAGTAATGAGAAATTTGAGTTTCATTAACTTTCCCTCCAATTTTGATTGTGCATGTCACATTTGTCCTCAAGCTAGGCAGACCAGACTGCCTTTTCCTTTAAGTCATATTAAGAGTTCTACTATCTTTGATATAATTCATAATGACACTTGGGGGCCCTTAGGGACTGTGACTTATAATGGTTACAAGTATTTCTTAACTATTGTGGATGACTGTAGTAGGGCAACTTGAACTTTTCTTTTAAGTTCTAAGGGGAATGCTTTTTCAGTCTTGAAATCATTTCTATGCATGCTAGATAGACAGTTTAACTTGAAATTCAAGAAGATCAGATCTGACAATGCCATGGAACTGAGTAAAGGATCACTAGAGGCAAGTTTTCTTGAATCTCAAGGGATTATACATGAGACTTCTTGTGTTTCAACCCCTCAACAGAATGGAGTAGTTGAGAGGAAGCATAGACATCTTTTAGAAGTAGCAAGGGCTCTATTATTTCATTTTAAGGTGCCTCCCCAATACTGAGGGAGAGTGTGTGCGGACAGCTACATATCTAATCAACAAAATCCCTTCTAAAGTTCTGAATGGTTTAACACCCTATGAGATGTTGCTTGGTAAATAGCCCAGCTATGATTCACTCAAAACTTTTGGTTGTTTATGCTATGCATCAACTTTGTCTCACAATAAGGGGAAGTTTTGTAATGACCTGGCCGGTTGTTTCATGAGTTACCGCTCCATTTTCCCCATTCCTACTTCTTTATATCTTGTTCAGCTGTATTATGTGGTATCAGGTTGGTTGGTTCGGGTTCGCAATGGTTTGGTAGAGTAATGAGACACTTAGTCTCTTAAGTTGGCCTTTTAGTTGGAAAAGTCAACCGGAAGTCAACTTGTGAGCAAACGATCTCAGAATTTGGTTTATATGATTCAGATAGCTTCGGGAGGTGATTTGGGACTTAGGAGCGTGATCGGAATGTGTTTTGGAGATCCGGGGTAGATTTAGGCTTGAATTGGCGAAATTGGAATTTTGGCATTTTCTGGTTGGTAGCGGAGATTTTGATATAGGGGTCGGAATGGAATTCCGGAAATTGGAGTAGGTCCGTTGTGTCATTTGGGACGTGTGTGCAAAATTTCAGGTCATTCTGACGAGGTTTGGTAGACTTTTTTATCAAAGCGAAATTCGAAAGTTTTTGGAATCCTTAGGCTTGAATCCGAGGGTGATTTGGTGTTTCGATGTTGTTTTAAGTGTTCCGAGGGTTAGTACAAGTTTGAATAGTGTTATGTGACTTGTTGGAATGTTTAGTTGAGGTCCCAAAGGCCTCGGGATGGATTTGGATGGTTGACGGAGAGTTTGGATGTTGGAGAGTGCTGCAGATTTTCTGCTTCTGTTGTATCCGCACCTGCGGATTGGGGATGCAGGTGCGACTCTGCAGATGCGGGGAGGAGGCCACAGAAACGGATTTGGGTCAGCTGGAGATTGGCCACAGATGCGGTTCATTGGGCGCATATGCGGGACTGCAGGTGCGGTTCCTGGACGCAGATGCGGCCCTGGGTGATCTAATAAAGAACCGCAGATGCGGTGGTCTTGATCGCAGGTGCGGTCCGCAAGAGCGAGATTTGGGCCACAGGTACGGAATCCCTGGGCTAGAACCTATATAAGGTTTCCTTCGCAATTTTAAGCTTTTCTTTAGCATTTTTGAGTCGGTTTTGGAGCTTTTTGGGATATTTTTAAGAGGAAATTCAAGGGAACTTCGTGGAGGTAAGATTGTTGAACCTAAAACTCGATCCTATGGCATTTTCTTATTGATTAGACTTGAAATTTATGGAAATTAGTGCTTAAAAATCTGGGATTTAGGGCTTGGAACTTGAGACTTTGATTTGAGGATTTGAGGGGCCGTTTGTGGTCGGATTTTGGTATATTTGATACGTACGAACCCGTGAGAATGTAAGGATTCTATTGGTGTGACTTTTAATGGATTTTGAGACATGGGCCCGGGGGTCGGGTTTGGCCAATTTTGGGATTTTTTAGTAAATTTGGTTATTTTGCATGGGCTTTTGTTCCTTTAGCCTATTTTGATGTTATGATTCCAATTTTGGATAGATCCGATGCATGTTGAGGTCGATTCGAGAGGCAAAGGCATCGGGGGCTAGAGTTTGGACCGGATTGAGGTAGGTAATGATTGTAAATGTTGCCTGAGGGTATGAAACCCCGGATTTCACATCGTTGTGCTATTTTGAGGTGACGCACACGCTAGATGAGGAGCGTGGGGTCGTGCACCGTTGGGGATTGTGACTTGGTCCACCCCGTACAACTATTAAGTCGCGTATTTAGTTGGAAATTGTTTGATATTATTATATTTTGGAAAGTAATACTATGTTTGGGGCTGAATGCCGTGTTTGGGGCCTTGTGCTGACTGATTGGACCCTTAGGGGCTTTTTACTACTGTTTTCCTCACTGTTTTGATGATATTTACACTCAGTCGTGCTATACTTTCACTGATTTTATAACTCGGATTTTATTTACTCCCTTTGACGTTATAAATAATATTTTTAGCCGAGTACCTGTTTTACTGTTAGCCCGAAGGGGTTTTAGTGAGTTCTGACTGAGTGAGGTCGGGGGCCTATGTTGTGAGGATATCTTGGGATCGGGCTTCGCGCCGCAGCGAGTTGTATTTATTGTGATATATGAGAGGCCGAGGGCCTGATTTATTATGCCACGAGATGGCTTGTGATATCGCTTGGGCTGTAGGAGCCCCTCCGGAGTTTGTACACCCCAGTGAGCGTGGGTACCCAGTGTGTGTGATGTGATATTTGCCCGAGGGGCTGTTGTTGTTTCATGT